CTCCAGTCTGGGTGACAGAGTGAGACTCTGACTCAAAAAAAAAAAAAAAAGATACCTAGCATGGTGCCTGCTACAGAGTTAACACTTAGTAAGTGTTAATTCCCTTCCTTTTTAGGAGAACAAAATATAACTTGAAATTTTCTTGAATTAAAAAAAATAACCCAGATATTTTTCTTTTTTGAGTCGGGGTCTCACTCTGTTGCCCAGGCTGGGAGTATGAAGGGAGACCCCAAGCAACCCAGAATTTATTTATTGGAAAATTGTGTATTTATTCTTACATGTTTATTTTATTTATTTATTTTTTTGAGTTGGAGTCTCACTCTGTCGCCCAGGCTGGAGTGCAGTGGCCGCTCCCGGTCGCCGCAGCCTCGGCCTGCTGGGCTCTGGCGATCCTTCCACCTCAGCCTTCCAAGTAGCCGGAATTACAGGCATGTGCTACCACGCCCGGCTGATTTTTTGATTTATTGTAGAGATGAGGTCTCGCTGCCCAGGCGGGTCTCGAACCCGCGGCTTCAGGCAATCCACTCGCCCCGGCCTCCCAAAGGCGCGGGATTACAGGCTGAGCCACCGAGCCCAGCTTTGTTTTTTGTTTTTTTTTAGTTGGAATCTTACTCTGGAGACTGGAACTACAGACACACGCCATCACACCCGGCTAGTTTTTGTGACTTATTACAGAGATGAGGTCTCACCAAGTTGCCCAGGCTAGTCTCGAACCCCCAGGCTCAGGCAATCCTCTCACCCTGGCCTCCCAAAGTGCTGGGATTACAGGCTGAGCCACTGTGCCCAGCCAAAAAAAAAGACTTTTTAATGAAATCTAGGAAAATGTAATGTCACTATGCTATTCAATAAATCTTACTTTGGTCTTTCTCAAAGTAAAAAGGTATCTACTCAATGAAACTGCAAATTAATTGATATATCTCTGTCATCCTCTCTGGTTTAAAAAAAAAAAGGAGAGGGAATAACGTATTTTGAGTAGTGACTTTTGCTGTACAAAATGTTTTACAGGTATTACTGTGGTTTCTCTGCAGGATGGGCATTTCCCCATCTTACAGATGAGGACAACTGAGGGTGGGAGAAGTTGATAACTTGAAGACTCACAGGGACAGTAAGTGGTGTAGTCAGGATTTAAACCCAGGACTTCCCAACTCTAATGTCCAGTCTTTGCAGAGTGTTATGTAGCTGCCTCCAACAGCAACTACCTCCTTTAATGATGAGCTTAAGGACGGAAGTAATACAGACAAACCCAATTGCACCAGTTTGGCACCTAAGTTCTGGACACTATGGCCTGGTCACTCATTTTGTGTTGGAGGATCAGAACCACGGATGGTTAGCCTCTACACAGTGATTCCCAGCATCCGAGGATGGAGAGCTCTCCTTCTCATCACTAGACATGGGGTCCCCCATCTGCAGGACAACAGGGTGGCCCCTGCTCATTGTCTTTTCAGCTGCCAATGAAACACACGACCCATTTAAATCCACAAACAGATACGAAGCAAGCAGGTTTACAGAAGCCTGGTTTTTGGTAGCAATTGCTAAACAATGCTCCATGGAAAACATAAAGGTTTCCTAAGTCACCTATGTTTAGAAAATGCTGGGCTACGTAAGCTAATCAGGTTTCTTCCCTGAAAGACTTCTGGAGCCATTAACATGCCGATGGCAAATATCTACTCAGTGTGGGTGGAAAGTATAGATGGTGTTCAGTGACTCTCAATTCATTCTACAACAGAGCCCTCTTCTCGAGAAACATCTTCTACGGAAGGAACACACTTAGAAAAATGCTAGCCTCCTGTGGGTTCCTACAAGCCTTTAATCTCTTGGGATATCGTAGCAAAATTGGTAAAGTTATCATCCTAAAGACTGGTCTCAAGCCACCACTTATTCAGGCAAACAGAGCCTCTACATAGGGGGAGGCAGGGTGGCACACCTCTGGTGCCAGGCTGCCTCAGTTTGAATCTCAACTCCATCACTTACCAGCCTGAGCAAGTTAACCTCCTAGACCTCGGTTTCTTCATTTGATCAGTGGGGATAATACCACCCACTCCACAGGGTTATAGTGAAGGCCGAATGGGTTCATACATGTAAAGTACTTTGAACAGTGCTTGGTACATTGCAAACTCTATGAAATACTGTTTGTTTCATCATTGTTATTGTTCCAACTCTTCTCTGCAAGCAAACTGCTGTATTTCAAAGGATGTGAAAAAGATGGCACTTACTTTAGTGTCTGAGCTTTAAAGTCATATTTGGCTCTGGCAGGTCTCATCTAAACACAAGAAACAAAGACAAGTTAAAATCAGGATTCACATACAATGAAAAGGATACATTTTCACAAGTTTCTGGAAAGCAAAGCAGAAAAATTTGCTCTAATCAGTTTGTTTTAGTGTAAAAATCTAGGCAAAACTCCAGCGGTCTGACCTTAGTGGAACGCTAGATGGATGTTCAGCCGACTACGTCATGCATGAGACCCCCTAAGGAGAGCCAGATTGGGGGAAGAGATGGTTAGAAAAGCCCCAACGTTGAAGTGCTAGCTCCCCAAAACATGCAGACCATGGCTATTTAAAAAAACCAAAGTCAGTCAGAAGTCCCAAGATGTTCCTTTCTGACTGCCTTATTCTTTAGGGGCATCTACTTGTCTGACTTAAATTATGACCTGCAAGTCGATGAAACTGACTCACTTTTCACGTCATCTACAACTCCACCCATTTCTTTTCTTTTTTTTTTTTTTTTTTTTGAGTTGGAGTCTCACTCTGTCACTCAGACTGGAGTGCAGTGGCCACTCCTGGCCACTGCAGCCTCAACCTGCTGGACTCCAGCGATCCTTCTGCCTCAGCCTTCCAAGTAGCTGGAACTATAGGCACGCACTACCACTCCCGGCTCATTTTTTTGATTTATTGTAGAGACGAGGTCTTACCAAGTTGCCCAGGCGGGTCTCGAACCCGCAGGCTCAGGCCATCCACTTACCTCGGCCTCCCAAAGTGCTGGGATTACAGGCTGAACCACCAAGCCCGGCCAACTCCACCCATTTCTTATGGTCCGTGAGACCCGCCAAAAAGCCAGATAAAGTGAAACTTCCCCTGCTGTTGGGGTAGCTCGCTCCTCCCAGACGTCCAGGCCTGGAAGTAGTCAGCCTCAGCTCCCTTCTCTACTTCTTCATCAAGTCAGTCATTAAGTCACACGGGTCCTCCTTCCTCCCCTCTGCCCCTTGGTCCTTCCACACCCTAGATTCCCAGGTCCGACCTCTAGTTCCTGCAAGCACAAAGCTTCCTTTGACTTGCCATTCTCTTCACGTGAATCTGTCAGGGACACAAATAACATTCCTCAAATTCTTCCTCACCTCCCTTCCTTGCTTTGAAGTTGGCTGCTGCTCTCAACTGCCCTGTAGATCAAATCTCAATTCCTGACCCAGGTTAAGCCTTTGAGTAATTTCTCCCCACTTTTACCTAAACACCTTTCTCTCTAATACACTCTTTGTCACACCTGAGCTCAACACCTTTCTCTGTCTGAAATTTCTTGGTCTCTGATCCCAGCAAGAAGTTCACCTTCACTTATCATATTTATTTGCGTATTTTTCTTCCCTTTCTTTAAAAGCAGTTATCTTAACTCATTTTTAAAAAGAAAGTAAGGGGGATAAGTCATATTTCTGGCCATGAGCACTCAACTTTTTCACCTGCTATGACCTCCTGGTCTAGGAAACAATGTGGAGAAAACAAAACTGCCTATGTCCTCTTCAACAACAGAGGGCATGAATGGAGGGGGGACATGGAACATTCTAGATGAGAAAAAAAGGGTGGCATTTCAAAGCTCCATCAAGCTGAGTTTTAGATTTTAATCCCTCAGTGACATGCTCCATGTTTTGAATACTCCATGGGAATTTTTAAATTCTGCATTTTCATGGTGAAGTTTCCATCTATCTGTACTGCACATATTAGGGGCCAAATAAACGACCACCTTATACTCAAGCTAATGCCACACAATTTCAGTGCTTGCTTTTGTATCTATCTGTGACCAAAGACCATAATTTAACAGTTGTAGGTGAACAAGAAAAGAATGCATGCAGTAGCCGGGCTCAGTGGCTCAGCCCGTAATCCCGCGCCTTTGGGAGGCTGAGATGAGTGGATTGCCTGAGCCCACGGGTTCAAGACCCGACCGGGCAACTTGGCGAGACCTCATCTCTACAATAAAATCAAAAAAAATTAGCCAGGCGTGGTAGCGCGCCCCTGTAGTTCCAGCTACTTGGAAGGCTGAGGCAACTACAGGCGCCTGTAGTTCCAGCTACTTGGAAGGATCGCCGGAGCCCAGCAGGTCGAGGCCCAGCCACTGCACTCGTCTGGGTGACAGAGTGAAACTCCAACTCAAAAAAAAAAAAGAATGCATGCAGGGTTACTGATAAATGACAAGTTCACACGAGAAGGTCAAATGACCACAGATTTCAAGAGAAAAAAGTGGGGGGGGGCTACAAAAGTGGGGGGGCTATTGTGCAGTAGAGCTGCATGGAATTTAAAAAATCTATTCCAAAGCAGCACCATGTTCACATGTAAATGGTAACTGAGTTCAGTCAAAACAATATCACCTAGCAATGAAATCTATACAATTACGTGTGTGGTTTATTATTTAATTTGTAAATGAGCTTGGGTGAGTAATGGGGGCTGCTGAGATTTTTTTTTTTCATTGAAAGTTCTCAAGGTGGAGAAACACTGATTCCACTGAACACTTGAGAATTATGTATGCAAGTCACCTGAGGTCATACAAAGTGGCAGAATCTCCCTCTTTATCTTTCTATACTTCCAGCTCCCCAAGGGCACAGACTGAACCCTTTCTTCCGCCCACAGAATCCCTGGTCATCCAAGTTCTCCTGAATGGGGCGGAAGGGCAAGGACATAGCATGGTGTACCTGGGACACATTGAACTCTACTTTCTCAACTCCATCGGTCACTGCTTCCAGGGGAGCAATTCTCAAAGTGTGGTCCCTCAATGGCATCATCACATCATCTAGGAACTTGTGAGGAATGTACATTCTCAGGCCCCGCTCCGGAATCATAAACTTTGCAGGTGAGATCCAGGGCCTGTTCCTTCACAAGCCCTCCAGGGAATTCCGATGCACTAGCAAGTCTGGGAATCAGTGCTCTGGGAGGGAGGCGGGCTCGTGGAAAGAGAGTTTTGCCTGCCCTGACCATGGTTATTACTGCACACATGTGGCATTTTCTTTTCTCTCTTTTTTTTTTTTGAGTCAGAGTCTCACTCTGTCGCCCAGGCTGGAGTGCAGTGGCACACTCACGGCCACCCCAGTGTTGACCTGCTGGGCTCCAGTGATCCTTCCGCCTCAGCCTTCCAAGTAGCTGGAATTACAGGCATGTGCCACCACACCGGGCTAATTTTTTTGATTTATTGTAGAGATGAGGTCTTGCCAAGTTGCCCAGGCTGGTTTCGAACCCCTGGGCTAAAGCAATCCTCTTGCCTCCGCTTCCCAAAGTGCTGGGATTACAAGCATGAGCCACTGCGCCTGGCCTGCATTGCATTTTCATCTGCATGTGTTATCTATACATGTAAGTGTGCAGCCTTCAGGTGCCTTTGCGTGTTCCTATCTTCTTCTACCTATAAGCACATGGGCCTGTCCACGAGAGCAAACCATCCCCAGAGCCTTCTGGCCAGGGCTGCTGTGCAGAAAAACTGGTGTGCTGAGGGTCCAGTGGCTGTGTCTCCTTGCAACTAAGTTCCACTTGCTAACTTTTGCTTCTTCCCTGTTACTTAAATTTATTTTATTATTATTATTGAGCTAGGGTGGGGACGGGTCTCACTCTGTAGTCCAGGTTGGAGTGCAGTGGCACCATCAAGGCTCACTGCAGCCTCGACCTCCTAGGCTCAGGCGATCCTTCCACCTCGGCTTCCCGAGTAGCTGGGACTACAGGCACACACCACCACCTGGCTAGCTTTTTAAATTTTTGTAGACAGGGTCTTGCTATGTTGTCTAAACTGGTCTTGAATCCCTGGCCTCAAGCAATCCTCTTGCCTTGGCCTCCCAAAGTGCTGGGACTATAGGCGTGAGTCACTGTGCTTGGCCTTTCTCCGTCACTTTAGCGTTTCTTTCCCCTCCTCAGCTTTCCTTCTTTTAATCTGGTTCTCTCTTTTCTCTAGCTCTTCTTCCAGACACCTTCTGTTTCTTAAAAAAATAAAATAAACTGATGAATGTAAATAATGCCCCTACCACTCAAAAGATAGAAACATGAATATTAACCTACTATATTGAAAGATTATAAGACTGGACATACTGTGGGTATCACTGCCTCATTCTGTGCACCTACCCCAAGCCCCAGACACACACACACTTTCCCTAGAGACCATCTTCAGCAGGGCAACTTAAGGGTTACGTGGCAACGCGTTAAACCCTTACGCAAGATGCAGCTTTTGGCCAGTGTGAGAATTTCGACATGCTGACCTCCACGCAGGAGGCCAAGACCCGGATAAAATCACTTCAAAGGTTTGCTCTCCTTCATTCCTTCTGTAACATCAAACTTTTGTAAGCTAAGCTTAGTAACGTCAACATGAGAGAAGCAAATGAAACATCCCTCAGAAAGCTCTCTGGCCCTTTGCAGGTTTATCCTAACTGCAATGTTCTTTGGGCTTCAAAATTCTTCAGGGCCCCACATTTTATCCAATTAACGCATCCACCTGTGAGCAGCAGTATTGTTCTCTGATATTTCTTTCTTTTTTTTGAATTGGAGTCTCAGAGTGCAGCAGCACACTCGTGGCCGCGGCAGCCTCGGACCTGCTGGGCTCCGGTGATCCTTCCACCTCAGCGTTCCAAGTAGCTGGTGCTACAGGCACGCACTGCCATGCCCAGCTAAGTTTTTGATTTATTGTGGAGCCGAGGTCTCACCGAGTTGCCCAGGCTGATCTCGAACCCCAGGACTCAGGCAATCCTCTCGCCTCAGCCTCCCAAAGTGCTGGGATTACAGGTTCGAGCCACCGTGCCTGGCCTGTTCTCTGATATTTCCACTTGCAAGTCACTATATTTTGGGGCCTTTGGAGATGGCGTGGAGTGTGGCTTGCTCCCGTGTGTCCTGTGCATCTCGTTAACCATCTCTTCTGAGGGGAATCGGATGACCACGACGACCGCGCATACGAACTAGCACATGGCTTCTAAGCAGACCTCACAGGCAACACGGGATCATGGGAAACACAGGATGAGGGCCACGGGACTGATGAAGGCAGCCGACGCTCTAAGTCATGCATGAGGGGCGCGCGCCAGCGGACCCCGGGCCCCAGCCAGGCATGCTTGCACAGACAGCACGGGACACACTAGGGGCCAAGTCCATTCACCAGGCACAGAGGAGCCAAAGCAAGCCTAGGGGAAGCCGGGGGACAGAGGCCACCTGGAGAGCTAGACCGGCCTACAGAGGGCGATGCCGAGGGCAGGCAGCTGTGGCTTTGGGCCAAGCAGCAGATCGAGGCGACCAAAACAGACCTCTGACCCAGATTTCCTTTTCGCGGTATCGTCTATATTGAGGAGGTCCCCAAAGCGCTCATTAGTGATAAACTGATGGTGCGTCGGGATGACGCCCGTGTGGCGTCGCGCTGCAATATCGGCCTCTTCTTGCTCACGCTTAAGCCGTCTCTGGTCCGCTAAAAGTTTCTGCCATGAAATTGCATAAAACGGGCAGTGAATCATCTGGTCCACGGCACTGGAAAACTGCCAACAAAAGCCACCAAGGGGGAAGGAGGGCGCCGGGTGGACAGGGAAGAGACTTGAAGGGCCAACCTTTGCAGTCAACTAACCACCATGCTCCCATTGGGACCAGCCCCCTCCCCCGTGCACCATAGGAAGGAGAGGCCCCGGGGAGCTGGGAGGGGGAAGGACAGCTCCCCATGGCTGTGACACAGGCAAACTTTCCCCCGGTCTCTGCCCAAAGCCTCCTGCCTCCTGGCCGCAAAGACCAGGTGAGCCCGGGACACGGCCAGGGTCTTCCCGGGCATACTGGGCTGGCAGTGGGAGACGGGCCGTGCCATCTACACCCCAGAGGCGGGGACATGCTCCCACAGTGTATTCCCATGGCAGGGCCAGGGCTGGCCGCCTCCTCTCGCCCATATCAGGCCTATGAAACCTGCCAAGGGCTTTTGCTATGGAGGGTCTAAGGCAACCAGGCCATTTGTGTGTTTCCTGTGTCTGTTACTCTAATTTGCTCTCCATAGAGTGGGGCCGCCCATTTCAGAAAAGATCACACCCCACCTCCTAGGCTAGCCAACTCTTCCCCTGAGCACAATTTGTAGGAGGCCTTAGGATATGCACTGAAGGTTGTTATGTGGCAGACAGAGAGCATCACTTTCTTTTTCTTTCTTTCTTTGATTTGATTTTTTGAGACAAGGTTTCACATTGTCGCCCAGCAGGAGTGCAGTGGCAGAATCATGGCTTACTGTAGCCTCGACCTCCTGAGTTCAATCACTGACTTTTTAATTGAACTATTTCTTCATTAGGTGAAATGTAGCTTTTAAGGGAATGATATAATAGAAATATAGAAAATAAACTAAAAATAGTAGCTGGGGTTAGAAGAAATATTTTTCTCTATACCAAGAAAAAAGTCAGGCCGGGTTAGGTGGCTCAGCCTGTAATCCCAGCACTTTGGGAGGCCGAGGCAAGTGGAGTGCCTGAGCCCGTGGGTTTAAGACCAACCCGGGCAACTTGGCAAGACCTTGCCTCTACAATAACATACAAAATTAGCTGGGTGTGGTAGCATGCGCCTGAAGTTTCAGTTACTTGGAAGGCTGAGGCGGAAGGATTGCCGGAGCCCAGCAGGTTGATGCTGGGGTGGCCATGAATGTGGCACTGCATTCCAGCCTGGGTGACAGAGTGAGACTCCAACTCAAAAAAAGAAAAAAGTCATCACTGGGCACAGTGGCCCACGTTTATACTCCCAGCACTTTGGGAGGCTGAGGCAAGAGGACTGTCTGAGCTCAGAGGTTCAAGACCAGCCTAAGCAACGTCGGCTTATTGGTAAGACCTCATCTCTACAAGAAATAAAAAATTAGCCAGACACTGTGGTGCATGCCTGTGGTTCTAACTACTTGAAAGGCTGAGGTGGAAGGATGGCCTGAGCCCAGCAGGTTGAGCCTGCAGAGGCTGTGGGCATGCCACTGTACTCCAGCCTGGGCAACAGAGTGAGACTCTGACTCAAAAAAAGAAAAGAAAAGAAAAAAGTCATCTCTTTCTATATTTAAAGGCCTTTAAAAACAATCAGGCCAGCCTCGGTGGCTCAGTCTGTAATCCCAGCAGTTTGGGAGGCTGAGGCGAGTGGATTGCCTGAGCCTGCGGGTTCAAGACCCACCTGGACAACTTGGTGAGACCTCATCTCTACAATAAATAAAAAACTAGCCGAGCGTGGTAGTGCGCGCCTGTATTTCTGGCTATTTGGAAGGCTGAGGCAGAAGGATCGCCGGAGCCCAGCAGGTCGAGGCTGCAGTGGCTGGGAGCGTGCCACTGCACTCCAGTCTGGGCGACAGAATGAGACTCCAACTCAAAGGAAAAAAAAACCCCAAAACAATCAAATAATGTTGCTTTTTACGAAATGCCCTCATCGCCTGTTGAAACAATCCTAAGGAACAGAATTTTAATGTGTTTTCTAATACTGTAGCAATCTTACATTCTAGGGGTTAACTTTCCTTGTGGCAAAGCATTAATTAGAACTGATAATTCTTAGTATGCTCAATAAAATGCTCGTCTTCTGTCAGCAGGCAATTAAATGCCTTGTGTGACATCAAGTCCCAGGATGGTGGGCCTGATTTTTCTGCAGAGTCTACAAATAATGAAGTGACAACTTATCAGATGCGGGATGTCCAGTGCTGAGGTAAGTTGTAAAGATTAAATGAGAAAAAGCATGAGCAAGTCCTTTGCAAAGCCCCGTGCTATGGAAAAAGCACCAGCCCAGGTCTCTTTCTAGCTCTGACATTGGCATAGGCTAACTGCCGTGTGGTCCTGCAAGCCATGACCTCACTGTGGTCCTTTCCTGGACTCAACGTCGGGGTTAGCTAGAAGATCACTAATGTTCCTGGCAGGACTGACATGTTCTCACGATCTGAACTTCCGTTATCATCCATGTTCGTGATAAAGCATTTACATAGGAAAGTACTAGACAGACCCGTCCCCTTCTCCTTTCCCCCATGAGCTGGGAAGTGTGAGCTCTTTCTGTAGCAACAGAATAGACAGATGTTTCTATCGGCTACGGTCTGCTAAAAGTTTCTGCCATGAAATTGCATAAAATGGGCAGCCCTTGTGCAATATCCCTGGTGTCCTGGTCAGGGTTACACATCATCAGTGGACGCGCACATTGGCTGGAGTGCAGCTCCCAACCCAACCTTGAATCCAACCTCAGTAAATCCATCAGGCCTGTCGTCTGACATCAGCCAAAAACCATGGATAAAGACACATAACTTTTAAGGATCTATGAGCCAGGGTTATTCAGGAAACAAACTGTTGCATACCTTCTGTATATAGCTTTTTTTTTTTTTGAGTTGGAGTCTCACTCTGTTACCCAGGCTGGAGGGCAGTGGCATGCTTCCAGCCACCGCAGTCTCGACCTGTTTGGCTCCGGTGATCCTTCCACCTGAGCCCTCCAAGTAGCCAAACTACAGGCATGTGCTACCATGCCCGGCTAAATTTTTTTAAAAATTTATTGTAGAGATGAGGTCTCGCGAAGTTGCCCAGGGGGGTCTTGAACTCATGGGCTCAGGCAATCCTCTCGCCTCGGCCTCCCAAAGTGCTGGGATTATAGGCTGAGCCACAGAGCCTGGCCCGTATGCAACTTTTATTTATTTATTTATTTATTTTTGAGTTGGAGTCTCACTCTGTCGCCCAGACTGGAGTGCAGTGGCCGCTCCCGGCCACCGCAGCCTCGACCTGCTGGGCTCTGGCGATCCTTCCGCCTCAGCCTTCCGAGTAGCCAGAATTACAGGTGCGCGCTATCATGCCTGGCTAATTTTTGATTTATTGTAGAGATGCGGTCTCGCTGCCCAGGCGGGTCTCGAACCCGCGGGCTCAGGCAATCCACTCACCTCAGCCTCCCAAAGGCGTGGGATTACAGGCTGAGCCACTGAGCCCGGCTCCGTATGCAACTTTTAATGGATCAACTGCTGAACCAGATAAGTAAAATGAGTGCTCTGTATGGTAGGCAAGAATTTTCCCACAAAACCTTCCATGTTGGATATTAGAGTTTATGTATGCATTTTTTCTTTCTTTCGGTTTTCTTTTTCTTTTTTTTTTAAGTTGGAGTCTCACTCAGTCGCCCAGACTGGAGTGTAGTGGCCGCTCCCAGCCACCGCAGCCTCGACCTGCTGGGCTCCGGCGATCCTTCCGCCTCAGCCTTCCGAGTAGCCAGAATTACAGGCATGCGCTACCACGCCCGGCTGATTTTTTGATTTATTGTAGAGATGAGGTCTCGCTGCCCAGGCGGGTCTCGAACCTGCGGGCTCAGGCAATCCACTCACCTCAGCCTCCCAAAGGCGTGGGATTACAGGCTGAGCCACCGAGCCCGGCTTCTTTCAGTTTTCTTAGTGACAGGGTCTAGCTCTGTTACCTAGGCTGGAATATAGTGGGACCGTCCTAGCTTACTGCAGCCTCAAACTTCTGGGCCCAAGCGATCCTCCTGCCTGAGCCTCTCAAGTAGCTGTGACTGCAAGGCATCACCACCATGCCAGGCTAATTTTTAAACTTTTTTTTTGGTAGAGACAAAAAAAAAAAAAATTATGTCGCCCAGGATGATCTCAAACTCCCAGGCTCAAGTGATCCTGTCTCAGCCTCTCAAAGTGCTGGGATTACAGGCGAGAGCCACTGCACCCAGCTAGGGTTTATATTATTAAAATAAAATTTCATCTCCCTTCACCACAGCAGCCCAGGCCTACATACACGGGAATCTTTTATCTTGTTGACAGGAAATACTTAACAAAGACCTAGAGAAATGAATCCGTTCTGTGGCCTCACTGTCGTGAGTTATTGCCAACACTAACTGAACATGCTATACTTCCTTGTTTCTTTCCAGGGACAGGTGCAAGGGTGTTACTGAACATGTTCAATTGAGACCAGAGATGGGGACAGGCATGGTGGTTTCTTTTTTGTCTTTTATCCCACCATCTGGCAGCAATGATTACTATCACCTGGCTCTTCCCAACTTCAGCCTTACCCTAAATCCTCAAGGAAACTCCACCCAAACCCTGGAGCCACTCAACAATAAAGAACAACAGAGATGCACACTTGAACACCCTCCCCCAAGTCACCGGCTCAAGGCGATTCTTCCAGCTCTCACTTCATGACAGGAAAATGGGCATTGGAGCTTGCTTAATCAAGAGGACCCCTTTGCTTGGGAAGGTAAGGAAACACAGAAAACGTGCCTCATAACAACCCTTCGCCACAGTGAAAGCTTGTGGTTTTTCCCATTTGGCTGCAATGTAGAACTACCACTTCCTAAATCCCTGAGAGAGAGGTTCTTTCCCAGGTCTGCCAGTCATACCACGGCAGGGCAGACATTTCAGTAGCTGCAAGAAAATACCCATATTTGGAAATTCTTGGCTGATTGCACCAATGTTGACCGGGGGTATCTGCCTTCTTCTAGTTGAGGCAACAAATTGTTTTATAAAATGTATCATGGTCATTACCATTCTTCATTTTCCTCTTTTTCCTACTGCATCCTTTCCAGTTTGAACAATGCTTTGTGCCAACGCACGGTTGGGCAGTATTGGAGAAATATGTGGGGTGGATATTCTTAGAGAACAGCAAGGAGGGGAAGTGGGTTGAGAAGGCAGGTCAGAGAGAAAAAATTCCCGCTTCTAGCTTACGGAGCATTAAACGCAGCTGTGGGCAACCTCTTTCTGTACCTCCCACACAGCAGCGCCAGCTGGATGTGGCATTTATAACCTAGTGCCCATGGGTAAATCAGTCCTTTTGGAAAAGCAGGACTAAATAAGAGCAGTGACTGAGCCTGTGTCACATGAAAAGTCACCTGTGAAAGCCTCAGTCTCTGCTTCCAATTGCTAGGCCATGCCACCTCTCTGACAGGTATCTAGGATGTGTACTCCTTTCATACTTTTTTCCAAGCAAGAGGCAGGAGATTTAAAAGATGGGCTTTACCTCTTTATCATCATGGCGCCTTCGAATAAATTCTTCTGTGGATTCCAAGTAATCGGCCGGTATAAAATGTCTTGGTGATTCTGAATCTTCAAAACAACAAAGTAGAGTTAAACACAGGCTATGACTTAGTGGGAAACCAGGTTGGGAGACTATTTCACCTTTTATCTAATATAAATAACAAGTTTTCAGAGTCGGTGTTGATTCATAATCAATCATCCAATTCTGAAGGCAAACCACCCACATCTCCCCTGCTTTTTGGATTTACCTGTGAACTGGTTTAATACAAAGAAAACTCATCACAAGGCAAAAGGTGAGGCAAAAGAGAGGAATTTCTTTGAAAAGTGTTCCTACAAAGAGGCGTGCAGGACCTTGTAGGGACAAACCGTACACTCTTAACACTTATACACACACACACACACACACACACACACACACACACACACACACACACACGGCCACTGAGAGAGGCTGCCTCTCAAAAACCCAGGGGTGATTTGGGGACCGGTACAAACAGCAGGGGGTTCAGGAGTTCCAATGAACAAATTTCTCAGATGAGCTAAACGGCCAATTTTTCTTTCGAAACACAGTTTGGTGGTTAGTCTCCATGATATGGGGGTTTTGTTTTTGAAGAAGTGCAGCCACTACGAGCCATGATTAATTGCCAAGCAAAACAAACAGAAAACAAAGGACAGACCAGAAAATGAGCACGGAGCACACGGGAGAAAGGGATAGAGCAAGCAAAGAGAGAGAGATGGGGAGGTGAGACCAGGCAAATACACAAAATGCCACCTCCGTGGGACGGTGCCAGTTCACTTTGCGGGTTGTTGTTCCCGTCCAGGCCGTGGTCTGAGTGTGACATGGAATTCCCATTATTAATGGCCCCGGGGCAGGCCTCCGGGGCTGCGGGTCTCTCCTGAGGGTGCTCTGAGCTACGGCTAAGCCTGGCCATGGTGTGTCGGGACGACAGGCGTGCGGGGACCGCGGGCTTCCCCCCGGAGGGGGGCTGGTCTTGAGGGGACACGCGGGGGAGGTCTGGCTTTGGGCCTGGTGGGAGGCCTGAGGGATCCCCAGGGCAAGGCTGCCTGGGGTGGTGCTGGAGGGGCTTTTTCAACCGAAAGGGGAGGGGGCTCATCAGGTAGATATTCCTGAGGAGCGCGCTCTTGTCCCCTCTGGAGTCCAGGCGCCAGTCGGACTGGCGGGGGGTCTGCTGCTGCTCGTGCTTCCGGATGGTGGTGAAGCGGGTATATGAGGCCGGGCAGGTGCCCTTGCACTTGTTGAGGCGATGTTTGGGGAAGTCTCCGTGCACGCTGCCACCGCTGCCCTCTCTGCTGTCGTTGGAGACGCTGGAACAGTGGTCCAGCTCGTCGGAGCAGGTGGAGAGGGGCTCAGAAGGCCCCAGGCCCCTGAAGCCCAAGCTGTGGTCCGCCATGTTGCTACACGTCGGGGAGGCATAGACCTCACCGGAGCTCAGCCCGTCCAGCTCCTTGGGACGGAGCTTGGTGGACTCCAGGAGGGACTCGGCCGAGCGGGCTGAGGTCAGGACACCCCGGGACAGCACAGGCGTGGGGGACTTGCTCAGCCGGCCGGACAGGTCCAGGGACGGCATGGACCGGGATCGCTGAATCAGCTGCTCGAAGGCGGTGATGCGGGAGGACACGGTGTGCTTGGGGATGTGGTCCGAGCCCTCCTGGCTGGGGCCCAGCTCGCCCCTGGCCAAGGCCAGGCCGCTCCTCTCAAAGTGGGAGGCGAGATCCCGGACGCTGGAGGAGGAGATGGAGCCCAGGAAGAGGCCGGCTCGGTTGATCTGGTGCATGTCCCGGTAGAACATGGTGAATTGCATCCCGGCCTTTCTCGAGAGGGGGCAGGGCCTCCTGGCGCTGGTGCTGTACTCCTGCAGGCTCATGGTGCTGCTGGACTTGCTGTCGCAGTCCCGCCGGGAGCGCATGAGAAGGTTCTCGATGCTGCCCCCCACCTGGAGGGGGAGGCCTCTTTTGGAATCGTTCAAAGCAACACAGAGGTTCTCGCAGCTCTGAGCCTTCTCTGAGGGCAACAGCACACTCTTCTGTTCCTGCAGAAGGGCGCTGGGAGCAGAGAGCCTGGGTTTGAATTTGGAAGGAAGGATTTCCGAAATGCAGGCTTTCGCGGCGGACAGGGGCTTCTTGTGCTTACACACGGGGCCTAACGCATGGCTAGTGTTAAACGTTCGGCTATGAACTGAAGATGAAGAAATCATGTGAGCATTCCCACCTTTACGATCCACTGGTAAGCATGCAGAATAAAATAAACAGACCCATTAGGTTAAAGCTGAAAGCTGCTAAAAAAAAAAAAAAGGAAAGAAAAAAAAGAAAAAGGAGAGGTAACATGCTTATTGGTCATAAGGGCTTTTTAAAAATCTCCAGTCGACGTCCGGAAGCAAAATAATCTGTGCTGCAAAGCAGGTGCAAAGATGCAATAAAAAAAAATGGCCACCCTGCTAGAGTTAGGAACAGCTAAAGCTCAGCTACTTTCTAAGAAAAGGGAGTAAGAACAAAAGAGAGAGAGAGAGAGAGATGCTTCAGGGATCACAAGGTTGGGGGTTCAAAGGAAGGGGAACTAGTAAAACCTGAAAGAAAAATGGCCGGTGAGAAAATAGGAAAATAGGGGAGGAAACCCCAGAGGGCTCAGATGCCTGGAAGTGGGCAAGGCAGGGCTCATCCTGGCGGCAGGAGGTTCTCGGTGACTGGGATGGGAGACGGCCACCTGGAGCCTTCACCCGCTGAGTTACCTTTCGTAGAAGCAGAGCTGGACGGTCGCTTGAGCCCACTCAGGCCCTGAAGAGGGATGTCGCCACCTTCTAAGACACTTTTATAAATCTGCCTCTCATTCTCCAAGCTAGCGAGTTCCCCAGGAGCCCCTTCTGATTCCCTCTTCACTGCGTGGAAGTTGGAAGAATATATACTAGGAACAAGATAGTTTTTAAAAGAAAAGAGAGAAAAGGAAAAAAAAAAACAAAGATCAGAATAGGAGTTAGCACTTTTAACATCTTTCTCAAAAGCAAGAAAGATTAGATTAGATTTCTTGCTAAGGACAAGAAATACACTCCCCAGCATCCTAATCTTTTTTTTTTTTTGAGTTGGGGTCTCACTCTGTTGCCCAGGCTAGAGTGCAGTGGCATGATCATGACTCAAGCAGCCTCCAATTCATGGGCTCAGGCAATCCTCCTACCTGTCTCCCAGGTAGCTGGGACTAAAGGTGTGTACCGCCAAGACTGGTTAACTTTTGGGGGGTTTTTTGTTTTGTTTTGTTTTGTTTTTAAGAGAAGAAGTCCTGCTATGTTGCCCAGGTTGGTCTCAAACTCTTGGGCTCAGGCAATTTTTCCACCTCAGCTTGCTAAAGTGCTGGGTTTACAGGCCTGAGTCACTGTGCCCAGTCTAAGCTGTCCTTTCTAAAGAGCATTCTTGTTTAGCCACAGATATCTGTAGAAAAGACAGGACCAAGGGGACTTGAATGTTTAGGAAGCTTATCTAAAGAGCAAAGCACTCTAATTGAGATGGCTGCATTTGCGCTTTAAAAGAATCATTCTAACCGGGCTTGGTGGCTCAGCCTGTAATCCCGCACCTTTGGGAGGCTGAGGTGAGTGGATTGCCTGAGCCCGCAGGTTCGAGACCTACCTGGGCAGCGAGACCTCATCTCTACAATAAATCAAAAAATCAGCCGGGCGTGGTAGCGCGCGCCTGTAATTCCGGCTACTTGGAAGGCTGAGGCGGAAGGATCGCCGGAGTCCAGTGGGTCGAGGCCGCGTTGACCGGGAGCGGCCACTGCACTCCAGTCTGGGCGACGGAGTGAGAAATTGCAACTCAAAAAAAAAAAGAATAATTCTGTGAAACACTACCCAGGGAGAGAGGGCTAGAATAAGGTTGGGGGTGGGGAGGGGCGGGGAGAAGGATGGAGGGGGAAGTGGCTGCACACAAGATGGCGCAGTCGAGGCAGGAGAGAGCCCCAGGGGGGGAATGCGGCCAGCCAGCATTGGTGACTTCAAGTCCACCACTCGGATAGTTTTTCTGGATTATTCTTCATATGCACTTTGGCTGATGGAATATTAAAACCAGCAATGAAAAGGGGAGGCCCAACTGTCTGGGGTCTCCAGAAAAATCAGCGACCAAATAAAACTGGAACCCGGGATTCCATGTGCTCTTATGACCACGGTCAATTTTATGCTTACTTCTTCCAAAGTCTGTGTTCACGACCTCATGACAGATTATGAGCACAAATGATTGCTCATTTATAGCCTTCGTTTCTTTTTATCTAGTTAAAAATCCAAGTATTTTTGCAAGTTACCACAGATTCTTTTTGGAATGAGGTGGGGCATAGAAAAAATTTTCAGAGTACTTACTCACTGGGTTCCTCCCTTCCCCAATCCCACTTTTCTTTGTCCTCACTGACTCACACACACACACACACACACACACACACACACACACACACACACACACAATCTTTCTCTTCTTAAAATAAATAAATGACTCCACAAAAGTACATAGGCTTCCACTAGTACCAAACTTAGCTTACTAGGATCAATACAGATTTTTCAGCTCCGAAGACCCCCAGTTAAATGGAATCTTTTAATCTCAATCATTTACTATGAATGTTATCTAATATATAGAACAGTGTAAAGGATTATATGAGTAATCACCATATCGCCTCAATTCTACAAGCCACATGAGCTACATTTGTTTTATCACACATCCATCCAGCTATATTTCCCTCTACTTATCCATCAATGATGGGGCTTCTTTTACATTCCAAAAAGCTGGCCTTTCCTCCTGTGCATAAACACAGGCTCTGAGTCCCCAGGGTCACAGATAATGACAGCAGTAACAACTCTCCACACCACCTGGTGAGGCGTCCTACGTGGGGGACACTGTGCTAAGTGCCTGCTAAGTGTTCTCTCTTCCTTACAAACGATCTTACTTCGCCATCTTTCAGATGAGGAGATGAGGCATTGAGAGATTCAGTGACTTGTCAAGGCAGGCGGGTGAGCAGAGGGGCAGGCTGGAACCTGAACCCCACGGTCAGAGATTTAAGAGATAGTATTGTCAGTCGCTGTCTTAAGCATAACACTTCCCTACAACCGAGGCGGTAGCTTGCACACTACAGGAGCCAGAGGAAGCTCAAGAAAGCTCCATTTCAAGAAAAAGGAACACTTCTACACTGCTGGTGGGAATGCAAATTTGTGCAACCTCTTTGGAAGACAGTGTGGCGACTTCTGAAAGAACTGGAAATTGACCTTCCATATGACCCAGCAATCTCCCTATTGGGAATATACCCCGAAGAAATCAAGACATCCTACCAAAAAAGATACCTGCACATGCATGTTTGTCGCAGCTCTATTCACAATAGCAAAAAATGGAACCAACCATACTGCCCATCAAAGCTTGACTGGATAAAAAAAATGTGGTGCGTATACACAATGGAATATTACACAGCCATAAAGAAGGACAAACAAATGAACTTTGCAGCAACTTGGATGGATTTAGAGTCAATTATACTCAGTGATCTATCACAGAAACAAAGAACAGAGTACCATATGTTCTCACTCCTAAGCGGACTTTGAACAAGTATCATAACACTATCAGAAAGGGATTGGCAGTGGTGGGAAATTGCCAGGGGAGGGGGTGTGGGATTGGCAGTTGAGAGAAACTGCCAGGGGAGGGAGGGGCACACCTCATCAACAATGGTCCCTGCACAGTGAACATTTGTATACCTAACCCTGAACTGTATGCCACACCTTTAAAATTAAAAATCCATTAACAAAAAAAAATTTTCCTTTTCTAAATTTCTTGTTCATGGCCCACCCCTCCCTTTGATTGCATGTTCCGATTTTGTTCCTCAGTTGAACCCTGTGTTTCCTTTTTTGTGTATCACCTCAACAGAAAAAAACGTTCATATGTAGATGCCCTCTATCCTCACACACCACAGCTGTGGTGACTGAGGTCATTTTGTGAAGGGCATGGCCTCTAAAGACCTGTCCACCTTGGTTGGGGGCTACCACACCTCCTTGGGCCTGAGACGGTATTAAACTAACTTTGACCTGAGGCTGCCTCCACAGTCTGGGTTCCTATTCTCCAGCAACCTAACTCAAGAGTATATTCTTGGCCGGGCTCGGTGGCTCAGCCTGTAATCTCAGCACTTTGGGAGGCTGAGGCAAGTGGACTGCCTGAGCCCGCGGTTTCGAGACCAGGCCGGGCAACTTGGCAAGACCTCAGCTCCACAGTAAATGAAAAATTAGCCAGGTATGGTAGCACGCGCCTGTAGTTCCAGCTACTTGGAAGGCAGCGGCGGAAGGATTGCCAGAGCCCAGCAGGTCGAGGCTGCGGTGGCAGGGAGCGTGCTACTGCACTCCAGTCTGGGCGACAGAGTGAGACTCCAACTCAAACCCCCCACCCCCAAAAAATAGTATATTCTTGTAACAAGCAGCTGAGTCTCAGCCAATCACAGCATCCAAGCTTCAGCCAATTCCAGGCTGCCAACAGATCAGCCCAAGTTCAATAAGGCAAATGCATCATCACACCATGCCCAAACAAGGCAATTAGGAACTAGAACCCACTGAGCTGCTCTGTGCTCACTTGGTCTCTTTTTTTTTTTTTTTTTTTTGAGTTAGGGTCTCACCCTGTTACCCAGGATGGAGTGCAGTGGCACAATCCTGGCTCACTGCAGCCTTGACCTCCAGGACTCAGGTGATCCTTCCACCTCAGCCTCCCAAGTAGCAGGGGCTACCTGGAACTACATACAGGCTTGCGCCACCACACCTGGTTAAGTTTTTAATTTTTTTTGTAGAGACGAGGTCTTGCTGTGTTGCCCAGGCTGGTCTTGAACTCCCTGGGCTCAAATGATCCTTCCACCTTGGCCTCCCAAAGTGCTGGGATTATAGGCGTGAGCCACTGTGACTGGTCTGTGCTCACTTGCTTTTTCTGTCTATAAATGCTGCCTACCCATGTTGCCAGGTGGAGCTCTCTGAACCTCTCTTGGTTCCAATGGCTGCTCAATTCATGAATCACTCTTTGCTTAAATAAACTAAATTTAATTTGGCTAAAGTTTTTTTATTTAAAGGAGTAACTCTGACAGCAGAGTCCATCCTGCTGCTTCTGCTGTCCATTATAATAATTATTATTGCTTTTCAATTTTTTTTTTTTTTTTTGAGTTGGAATCTCACTCTGTCGCCCAGGCTGGATTGCAGTGACACACTCACGGCCACCACAGCCTTGACCTGCTGGGCTCAGGTGATTAGGCCTCAGCTTTCCAAGTAGCTAGAACAAGAGGCATGCGCCACCACACTCGGCTAATTTTTTGATTTATTGTAGAGATGAGGTCTCACCAAGTTGCCCAGGTGGGTCTCGAACCCATGGGCTCAGGCAATCCTCTCACCTTGGCCTCCCAGAGTGCTGGGATTATAGGTATAACCCACTGCGCCTGGCTGTTTTTAAATTTTTTATAAAGATGAGGTCTCGCTATGTTGCCCAGGCTGGTCTTGAATTCCTAGGCTCAAGCAATCCTCCTGTCTTGGCCTTCGAAAATGCTGAGATTACAGGTGTGAACTGCCATGCCCGACCAACCCTGAATTTCCTGAGCCTTGGTCAGAACTTCTGAGCCATTCTCCTGGGCTCCTCTTTGTTTGGTCGTGACTCTCCACTGTAACTGGCTGCCCGATCCCACACCTGCTCTACCTCCCGAGCTGTCAGAAGGCACCCTGCCCTAGCCACCTACTCCCTGGCTTCATTCCACCCATTGTCACCATTTGTTCCTGCTTCCCACCAGAATGAAAAACCAGCACTCAGGAAGCCTCTCAGAATGGATTTGCTGCAGCCAATTGTTTTCTTTCTGGTACCAAAGCTAACAAAACACACTTTTTCCAGATGTGCAACATTTTGCAACTGAGGTACTCCTGGTTTAAAAACAAT